TGGCTGCTCCAGCAGGCCGGGGAGCTTGTGAAACATCCAGCCCCACGGAAACTGTGAATGTTGTGTTCTTTTTAAAGTTTTGTCTTTGTCTATTTATCCCCCTTTCCCTTGTCTATTGTGAGCCGCCCGGAGTCCTTCAGGAGTGGGCGGCATACAAGACAAATAAATAAATAAATAAATAATAAATAAATAAACCCCCTGCTCAGGCAGGAAACCCTATTGCATTCCAGACAAATGCTTGTCCAGTCTCTTCTTGAAAACCTCTGGTATTGGAACCCCTGCAACTTCTGAAGGCCATTGTTCCACTGGTTAATTGTCCTCATTGTCAGGAAATTTCTCCTTAGTTCTGGGTTGGATTAGTTTCCATCCATTGCTTCTTGTCCTGCCCTCAGGTGCTTTGGAAAATAGGTGAGCCCCCTCTTCTTTGTGAAAACCCCTCAAATGTTGGAAGATTGCTCTCGTGTCACCCCTGCTCTATGCTGCACTTGTGAGGTTACACTAGGAATACTTTAATTTCCAACTTTTGTGCTAGAGAAATGCTCAGCTCCAGAATTGCCATCTTCTGTCCTTCCCAACAGAGAAGCCAAGGTAATGGTCTGTGGTAGCCCTGGTCCATTGGAGCACCTGCCCAAATTATTCTTCTGGTCCAAATACAGGTAGTCCTTGATTTACGACAGTTCATTTAGTGACCATTTGAAGTTACAACAGCACTAAAAAAAGTGACTTAAGATTGTTTTTCACGTGAACGTTGCAGCATCCCCATGGTCACGTGATCAAAATTTGGTCATATTTGACTCATATTTATGATGATTGCAGCGTCCCGGGGGATACGTGATCCCCTTTTGCGACTTTCTGATGAGCAACGTCAATGGGGAAGCTGGATTCACTTAACGCTAGTTACTATGTGTTACTATGATTCCCTTAACGGCGGTGGGAAGAAAAGTCGTAAAATGGGGCAAAACCTACTTAATGGATGTCTCATTTAGCAACCGAAATTTTTGATTTCAGTTGTGGTTGTAAGTCGAGGACTGTGCTGTCTGGGCCAAAAAAGCACCTACATCTGTACATCAACTGTTTTTTATTTCTTTTGTTTCGTTTAGTCCTGGAGTTTGCAGATGACATCCTTCCCAAGCAGCCAGCAATCATATATGTAACAAGAAAGAGGGGGAAATTACTGAAATATTTAAAATTAGTTTTCGTCAAGGGCAGTTTATTGAGGACATTTTGTATGGAGGTCGGTTCCCCTTTAAGTGAAATTATTTTGAGTGGGTCAGAGGGTCTGTAGTGTCAGTAACCACAAAAGTGGTCAAAAGGCAATAAATTATTTGACTGTCAGCTACCATGTCACCCCTATTTCCTTCTGTTTATTAGACTAGACATATCTAGATAGCGCAATCATTCACTGTATGTTTTAGCAAGCAATCTCCCAATCATCTTTGTTGCTCTTCTCTACGCTTTTTCTAGTACTGTAGAAAAAGGGGTGTATTGTATTGTGGTAGACCAAAACTGGACACAGTATTCGAACTGTGGTCTCATCAGTGCAATATAAAGTGGCACTAACACTTCATTTGATCTTGATGTTATCCCTCTGTCAATGCAGCCTAGGGTCACAGTAGCTCTTTTGGCAGCTGCCACACACCTCTGGCTCATATTTAAGTGATTTTCCACTAGGGCTTCTAGATCCTTTTCACAGTGGCTGCTCTTGAGCCAGGTATCACCTGTTGTACCCCCTTGCTTTGTTTTTCTTCTGGCCTAAGTATAAAACCATATTCTTCTCAGCACTGAATTGCATCTTGTAGGATAGGGCCCAGTGCTCAAGTTTGAATCTTGCATCTGTATAAGTCTACCCAGTCTTACGACTCTACTTTAGGGCTTAATCAGAGGTAGTGTCAGCACTCCTCCATTAGATAATCAGGAAAGGAAAACCACGAGACTTCATTGCTAGAAATCAAGTGTACTTTTACTAATTATAAATGATCAGAAGAGTAGCAAAGCGGAGACTGATTATTTAGGCACGAAAGCA